AAGTGACGGAGCGACAAACCGTACGATGAATTGACTTGTTGCAGTCATCATAAGGTACCTTGTTACACTAATACCGAGGATCCTTATCACGATTGATAAATTGTCACGTGACGGAAGTGGATTTGGTGCTAACGATGGCGGATATGACGGTGGATTAGGTCATCATGGAGACGACTTTGGTGGAGGTGGCGATGATTATGGAGAATATGGTAATAGACGCGGTGGAGGTGGCGATGATTATGGGGAAGATGGTAATAGACGCGGTGGATGTGGCGATGATTATGGGGACTATGGTAATAGACGCGGCGGAGGTGGCGGTGATTATGGGGAAGATGGTAATAGACGCGGTGGAGGAGGCGATGATTATGGGGAATTTTGTAATAGACGCGGTGGAGGTGAAGATGATTATGGGGTATATGGAAATAGACGCGGTGGAGGTGGCGGTGATTATGGGGAATATGGTGATAGACGCGGTGGAGGTGGCAATGATTATGGGGAATATGGTACTAGACGCGGTGGCGGTGGCGATGATCATGGACAATATGGTAATAGACGCGGTTGAGGTGGCGATGATTATGGGGACTATGGTAATAGACGCGGTGGAGGCGGCGATGATTATGGGGAATGTTGTAATAGACGCGGTGGAGGTGACGATCATTATGGGGTATATGGTAATAGACGCGGTGGACGTGGCGATGATTATGGGGACTATGGTAATAGACGCGGCGGAGGTGGCGATGATTATGGGGACTATGGTAATAGACGCGGCGGAGGTGGCGGTGATTATGGGGAATATGGTGATAGACGCGGTGGAGGTGGCGGTGATTATGGGGAAGATGGTAATAGACGCGGGGGGGGTGGCGATGATGATGGGGAATATGGTAATAGCCGCGGTGGCGGTGGCGATGATCATGGACAATATGGTAATAGACGCGGTGGAGGAGACGATGATTATGGGGTATATGGAAATAGACGCGGTGGAGGTGAAGATGATTATGGGGTATATGGAAATAGACGCGGTGGAGGTGGAGATGATTATGGAGAATATGGTAATAGAGGCGGTGGAGGTGGCGATGATCAAGGGGAATATGGTAATAGACGCGGTGGAGGTGGCGATGATTATGGGGACGGATATGTTGGACATGGCGGTGAATACGGTGATGATTATGATGCAATAACGATGGATTTGGATGAAATGACTTCAGAAATGGTGGTGGGAGTCTTAGTAGAACTGACGAAACGTATGGAGGGTATAATGATAGCTATGGCGCTGGAATGGGATATGGCCGGAGTGACAAATGAAATCTCAATGTTAATCAACCATTCGGTCAACTTCCTCCTGCATGTACGGCATGGTGGCGATGATGTACAGAGAGAGGAGTCGGCGAAAAAAGGAAAGTCCCGCATCCGCCGATTCATCTCCTGCAATTAAGGAAACCTAACACAAATCCAAATCGTAATGATCTGGCAACATAAAAGTGGATATGTACGGATAATGGATGAGTGACATATGTACAGATAATGGATGAGTGACAAACGGTTAATTCTGGACTCAGAATTACCACCTCTAAGGTTGGCCAGAAATAATGAAGTGTATAGTATTTATCAAAGCTTTGTGAATTTTCTGATACACAATGTGTTTTGTCAACATCAACAATACTGTTTTCCTTCATATACATGTATTTCCAGTTTAAAATGTATATTTACATATTGTATAAACGATGTGTTGTTTGTTATTTTTCTCAACTTATTACTGTTTTATTTCGTGTCTATCATGCATTAAATTTATTCAAAATAAAGACAACCGCACAATAAACGTACAACGCTTGTGTAATATGTTTTTGTTGTTTCAAGAAAACAGAGAAGTGGTTAAATCTATCTTGTAATATGTTGCCACTGGAATTGTCGATATAGGTAGCGAACCAGGATGACCGAGGATTTGTTAAAGTACTCTGTTAGTGCACATCTGTAGAAGTAGTCGTTTCACGTTTTTGACTCATTTGAAACACGTGACCTTTACATCGATAACTATTTGAATAGGGGTTTTTTTCACGCTTAGACCGTCCTTGATGGAAATTGAAATATTACTCCAGGAAGCAAAAAATAAACCAAAATATTTGAGCATTTGATCAGCCATATTGCGTCATGAAATGCTATTATATACATACTGTTGTCTTTATATTTGTTAAGGGTTTAGTTTGGTTTGCGTGGATATGGTTTAACGTCCTATCAACAGCTAAGGTCATTAATTGTATGGACATGTGTATGTGTGCCAGAGACAGGGTGCGTTGGTGTAATTGTCTGTTCGTGATAGCGCGGATCTGATACCGACTTTATAGTGCTATCTCACTTGAAACCCATGTCGAAGGCACCCAGCACAGTATTCCGCCCGGTCACACTATACTGACAACGGGTGAACCAGTTGTTGGCATTTCCCGAATATTTCGGAATAACAATTACCATTTTAAAGGTCTTTGGTATGTCCCAGCATGGAACAGAATCCAATTCCTCCATCACCTTGGCGAACGTCCAACATTAGGAAAGGAAAGATAGTTCGGAGAAGGCAGAATCTTAAAAAATCAAGATATTGGAATGGGAGTAGCAGATTTATTTGTGTCGCCTTTGTGTCCCCTAGTAGAGGGTAGGGCACAAACGCAGATACCCAATTGTGCAGGGGGTTCCACATAGCCGCCGTTTACGATCATGCAGTTGGTCCCCGACCTACAGGGTTAGGGGAGATTATGACAGAGCCCGCATAGAGAAAGGAAAATTATTCATTCTCCTTGTGCATCTAATTTCACATCTTATAAATATTCATGAAATTTGTTTCTGCTAAATTTAATACCTCATTTATTAGAATTATTAATGTATGTTGCTGAAAAAACCTCAGCTGAAATAGATAAACACGGGTATAATACGAATGTATTTTGTTCAACACCAGAATACACTCTGTGTACAACTGTATATCAACACTATAAAGGATCCCTGTTCTATTGCAGGCTAATCACAAGATAATTCCAAACGTAATTTTCTTGCGTAAACAGTAAACCTTAATTTCGGTTTAGGTTATACGATTAATCAGATAGCTCATTGGTTACAGTTACCTTATCATGATAGGAGGTTTCGGCAATCTGATATACTATGTGATAGTACCGCAATGCCGCGCTCTAGATTTAATACTGTTTTATATATAATAATAAATTGTATACCGGTAAATTTCGCTGCAATTTAATTTTCGCCTTTTTCGTCCTTCGTCACGAGGGCGAATTTATCATTACATCGAATATTAGCAAATAACAAAATATACATTGTTATTAAATGTGAAAAGGGAATTTAATATAGGCGAAAATGGATTTTACCGACGAAAGGCGAAAACTTTTACTGAGCGAAAATTTCCGGGTATACAGTATAAACAATCAACAAAAATAGACTATATTGGGGTAAGTTTATTTCAGCATAAAATTCTGTAGTGTACAAACAACGATATGGTTATGATGTCGTATAAGTCTTGAACTGCACCATCACTTGAACTGGAAAAAAACTTTACCAGCTAGCGTCGAATCTATCGTCGACCACATCGGAACATAATCAAAAGAAATACTGAATATAAAATCGTTACACAAAACCTCCGTTTTTCCCCACTAAATCAAGTGTAGAAATAGTGAATCTATGAAGCAAAATTTTACGCATATGATGTGTGTATTTGCCTGTATAATGTGTTAATATTTGAGCATTTAACTGCTTTTAGTTGGCATTCATAGGATAATTATCAAAGTGAAATGTGTAACTCAGAAAAAGAGAAAATGAAGCGAATATTATTTGATTTCAAGTTATGAATGCCAACTGGAAAAAGGCAAATTCCATGAAGCACGCTAGCAGTCCAACACAGCCCTCTGTATTTAAGCTTTAATTTCCTTCGATATGCTCATGGAGCTAACCAACCGCTTAAAATATCTACCTCGCTGGTATCCATATAATCGGTATTCGATTCCCGAGCGCTCGGAGTCAGATAGGCCTGTATCGTCGGACACGACAGATACTCCTCACAGATAGGTGGCGTTATCTTTCTTTTTTAAAGTAACGTAGCGTTTATTTTCGACTTTTGTCTTTTATTATTATATTTCTTTTAATTTTAACCTCAGTCACGTATGATAACTTTTTTTTTCTATTTCCTTTGTCAGCAAACGGTACATAATTGTCGATCAAAGGGAGGTAACCTCAACTTGTTTGCATTTCTTGGAATTCCTACGCTGTTGGCAGATCAAGAGCTGGACAACTCTCAACTAACTTTGGTCAGGTTACATAGTGGCAGTGTAATAAAATGGTTAATGTATGTCAATATAATATAGAATATGTGTTTATGTAAATGTATTATAGAATATGTGTTTCTGTAAATGTATTATATAATATGTGTATATGTAAATGTATTATAGAATATGTGTTTATGTAAATGTATTATAGAATATGTGTATATGTAAATGTATTATAGAATATGTGTTTATGTAAATGTATTATAGAATGTGTTTATGTAAATGTATTATAGAATATGTGTTTATGTAAATGTATTATAGAATATGTGTTTATGTAAATGTATTATAGAATGTGTTTATGTAAATGTATTATAGAATGTGTTTATGTAAATGTATTATATAATATGTGTTTATGTAAATGTATTCTAGAATGTGTTTATGTAAATGTATTATAGAATATGTGTATATGTAAATGTATTATAGAATATGTGGATATGTTAGTGTACTGTATAAACATAATAATAACATTATCAAAGTAATATAGAATATGGCAAAGTAGTTACAGAAATTGTTGGCGCCAGATAAAAGTTAAATTATCTTAATGCATTTGGTGGCAACAGACATGTATGTTAGTTCCTGCATAGCAGGAATGTAAAACAGTAACGAACAAGGAAAATATGTTAGCCAATATCTGCCTATAGCCTTTTCACAACGAATGCTTTAAGGAATACAAAACCCGAAAGTCCAAGATTTACCCAAAACTCTCTTCTACGTTTTGATGTATTGTTTATTGTATTTGGCTCAATTACGGTCATTTACTGCTAAACAACTAAAAAAAAATAGACGTTCAGAAAAAATGAATACATCAAGCTTAAATAAAAAAGGTTAAATTATTCGAAAAGATGTTAAAACCGGCAGTTGCAAACGAATTAGTTGTAAACATGACGTACTTTTTTGAAGAAATCAATTCAATGTAAATAATTATGTAATATTGACAGATTAGATATTACATTAAAGAACTGAAGACTAAAAATCGCCACAGGCGATCATAACAAGTTTGACAGTGAATGGTCGATCACAAGCATGACGATAACGTTGATTTTCATCTCATAAATTGTAAGCTTGTGTAAAGAAGGTATGATCTATGCGTAGTCGTAATAGGACAACTTCCTGTCTGCGGTCAGGTCTACTTTCTGAATAGAGTAAGACAGTTGAATATCTTCTGGTTGTAGATATGTTGATATAGTAAATACAATGTTAAGTTGATATATATATATGGGCATGAATACAATAGAAGTTTTCTTGTTAGATCCGCGTTCAATTACACGATATACACTTCTAGCGGCAGCTTGAATCACGATCTCAAAAATATATCATGATAACGCTAAAAGTCCCTCACTCTTCTATTTGTTTGGAGTTTGATTTACAAAGGTTTCAAGGGAGTCGTCGTACGCTTTGAACCAGGGTGTGTGGTGTTTAATCCCTGGGTTTTCGGTAAAAACCGATGTATACGTCTGATCCCGGTAAGTCGCTATGTTGGCATGCTTATCATCTTCCCACTTGTTGAATAAGGCAGCTACATCCAGATTGTATTTGGAGCCGACTTCCCTAGCGAGGTCACACACAAACTTTGTCTGGAAGGCGATGTCGTCGTATTCATCGTTCAGCAAGTCTTGCTTCTTGCGCCATTTTGTAATATCCGACCCCATTTCGTTCCGGTTTGGAAGCTGTAAGTGCCCAGCAACGACTGCACATGCCCATTCGGCTTGGACATCAAACATTGTATATGAGTAGTACTGGTCGTGCATGCCAAGGTACATGAGCTTGTTGTTGCCATCGCCCATCCATAAGGTCCCCTTGTACAACCCAGCCGGATACATCTCCAGTTTTGTCTTGAGACGAAGGGACTCTGAAAGGTAAGGGAAGTGGAACAAATATCCGGTACAAAAAATAATGACATCTACTTCCGCTGTGGTCCCGTCTTTGAAATGAATTTTGTTCCCAACTACCTTCGTTAGCAGTAGACGTTCTTCTATTCCTTCGGGCCAGTTGTTGAATCCCGTTGGCTTTGTACGGTAGCTACAGATGACTTTGCCGGATCCCATCTTCCTACATTGCATCGAGATGTCCTCCGCTGAATATCTTGAGCCGATCAAAAGCATTCGTTGACCTTTGAACTCGCGTGCTCGTCTGAAGTCGTGTGAATGGAGAATTCTTCCTGGAAACATGTCGATTCCATCAAAATAGGGAACATTAGGGACCGAGAAGTGACCGGTAGCAACGATGACGTTGGAGAATCTCTGTGGTGAAAGATCCTCGTCAATACTCAGGTCCTTGACCATGACTGTGAAGTCGTCTGTGTCTTTGTTGTAGGTAACGTTTTTCACCATGGTATTGAATCTGACCAAGTTACGGAGATTGCTCTTATTCCAACGACCTGCCAAACAAATTTTTTATTAAGTAAAACAATTTGAATACAAGCAGAATTATAATGATTATATCCATTTGAATCTAAACTTCATCAACTACAAATCTGTAAAATTAACAATGAAATAATGTTTTCTACATTCATAAGCAATAGTGATTCGGGGTACTTCTGACGAACGCAATGCAAGGTTTAGTGTTCCTATAGTTTATTCATTTACATAAACAGCAACCTTTTAATTTGATTGAATGAAAATCAAACGATCAGAGGCATATTTTCAAATCGCAATTACTCATGTTGATTTTTGAAATTTACGTACACCTTCAATAGATTAAGGAAATATCAATTTGAATTGTTGACACTCTTTTATACTGTAGACGAGTAAAAAAAAAAAACCAGAAAAAAACCCCACAAAAAAGTAGTAAAGACATGCCTATATACATAATTATAGTCAGTGTTGAATTTATCGCATGAACAAATCTGAAGTCACAGTCAATTATATTCTATTTAATGGGAAACTTATTACCTGGTAATCTTATAATTGAATTTAAACAAACCCAACATATAATATATATCTATTCATATAAATGGCTGACTAAAACCACAATATTCTTTGGGCTCGCCTGCCAGTTGGATCACATATGAACTTTTATATGCATGCTATGCTGTGGTTATCGTTAGGGTATGAGAGGGTTGGATTCGAGTTTTTGTTTTCATTTGCATTGACAACACAAACTAAACATATCATCGGAACACAATCGATCGTATGTAATGAGAAGTACCTTGTAGATAGTCGAATAGAACCGTCCTTGGAGGGAAGCAGGGAATGCACTTCCCAAAATGATCTTCGAAAGTGTAATCTGGGTACTCCAGGCATTCTTTAGGACCATTCGACCAGAGGTCTCGGTACTGGCTTCCATGGCAGGGCTCGCCATGCTCATCCAGACCTGTTGGTTGAAAGAAAATTAAAAGATATATAATAGTATTAATAATACTTCGAGGATCTTATATACCGCTTTATCAAAACCTAGTTTGTAGGTCGTCTCAAAGCGGTTCACAAATGATTATCTGTGGTTATAGGGCCTTTGCAACCAGCCATATCTCAACTCCCTTGGAAACATACAGCCGGTGCTGCCATATTGTTTTTATTTTAATTTTAAATTAATTAATTCCTCATTAGCAGATTCCATGTGTATATATACATAAATCTTACTTGGAGGTTACCAGGGTTTAATCCCCGAACAATAACATTGTCCTCACGCAGGAGGTCTTTCTCACGCCATACACCTCTTATCCATTTAAAATGTCAATTTCTTTTACATATATGTATGTTCCTATGTGAAAGAAAAGGAGACACATTCAATATCAAAACAAATTGCAATATCACTGTAACGTTTCTGCTACCCAGCTAATCCTGTGGGTGAGATCAGTTATCATGAAATTTATAAGGTTCGTTCCCAGCCTAGCACTCGTGACCAAAAGTAAAACCAGCAACAATCATGATAAAATTCAACATTTTATTTACAATTCACAAAATAAACATCAATATATGTCACTTAAGATCAAAACACTCTAGTAATGTACAGAGAATGAAAAAGGTGACTAGTATAATTTTCCCCACTATTTTATTCCCAGATATGGAAATTCTCTACTTGTTCCCGAATGTGGGAACACTAATCTCGTTCCCGAATATGGGAACAATATTCACCGTTCCCAAATATGGGAATAACTTTAAAATATTCACCCAAAATGGGAATTACTAATTCCTCCAAGTACTTTTGACCTAACAAGTTCTCAGTTATACTTATAAATATATTGTTAACTGACTATAAGAAATTGCAGGTATAAATATATTTCTCCAGAGATCTTATATCTCTTTCTAGTTACGGTGTCGTTTGGGAAACTTTTAAAACGTTCCCGCTATTGGGAAGTTTTTATCCTGTGGTTTATATATGGAAATATTTCCCCACCATGATCACCGGGTCATCCGTCCCACTTTAAATTGATTTAAAGCTTACCAATGGCTCCATATTGATGTGTGGGTTGGAGGGTCAATACCTCCGTCGTTTCAATAAAACGAATGACAACATTTTCAAG